ATTCTCTGAGAGCATGTTCCGGAATTGGATTCGGACCAGCAATTTAAATGAGTGCAGAGTGCAATTTAAGTGAGGAGCAACGAGATGCTTGGGCAATAGTTGTTCCTTTCTTGGCCAAGAAATCAGCTTTCCCCAAATCCCGCAATGTCCCGGGATCCATTGGAGGACGATTTGCTTGCCTTTTAGTGTCAGGTCTTTCAGACAATCAATGCATTTCTGAATGGAGATGGATTGGGGAATCAGTGGAGAGTCAATATCAAGAAGTGCTGCTTTAAAGTCAGATAAGATGACGGCGCTGGAAAATTGGTCAGTACGACACTGTAGTTGTTTTAGGGCAATTAGAATAGCCTCGATTTCACCGTCGTAGGCAGATGCATGGCAGCCAACAGAAGCGTAGACAGAGAACAGGTGACAAAATACTGCCGCTCCAGCACTCACCCGCTGATCCACTCGGGAGCCATCTGTAAAGATTCTCAACCATTCAGGTTCAGGATATAGCTCTTTCATAGTTGCGTGAGAGATACCTTTAAGGACATCACCTTCAAAATCTGATTTTAGGACTCTGAGAGCAAGGTCTGTGACCACATTGAAAGTCTGGTAGTCCAGTGGGCTACAAGGAGTGCGAAGAACTTCAGGCTCAATAAAAAGGTTGTATTTGTCTTTTAAGCTCAGCACCCCCTGTAGGAAACCCGCTTGAGTCTTTAAGTGGCGCTGCCTGGGGCTCTCTGGATTCCAAAGAGAAAGATACCCAGGAGTCCGTAATATTTTTTCCCAGAGTATCAAGGCCTTTTCTTCAATTATTTTTTCCATCGGTCAAAGACCAGTGCAAAAGAGCATAGCGTCTATTGGGGTAGATTTAACAGCTTCAGTGATCAAGCGAAGTGCTTGATTATGAAAAACCTCAAGAGATCTGCGAACCTGACTTGGAGCACTAATTAAGGGTTCACAGCAGTATGTAATCACCGGAAGTCATTGTTACGAATTTTCTATCTCAAATTTCTAATTTCAGAAATGCAGAGAAACTCTCTGGCTTGCGTTCAAATGAATAAATGCTCATCACAGATGACGTCATTCCATTGCAGCGCCAATGATTTGCATACTACAGTTTTACTTAGGAACACTCATTAGCTAACATATTCAAATTTTATTGGGATTGACTTATTTTTAGAAGAGATATCACTATTTTTGTAATTTTTCCTTAATTTATGATTGCCAGTGTATAAAAACTATTTAGACAAATATTTAAAGCTCAACTTGGAACAGCTATAGAAGCATGTTTGAAAGTTATTAGACACTTTTAAACTATCCATAATTGAAATTATCTAGGAATAGAGGAAAGGAGCTATTGATGGGAAAAAAAAAAGAAAAACAAAGAAATATTTATTTATAGCTTTTAAGACAAGTTTCTGGTCAGGACAAATGAAAATATTCAAATCTCATTCAAATTTCTATTTTTACAACATGCTTTTTACTTGTTTAAACAGGTTTGGATGCTTTGTAGCTAATCCAAATAGCTTAGAATACATTTAATAGCGTTAGAAAATTTAAGGAAAGCAAAATAATATGTAGAAATTAATTTCATGAAACTCTAAACAAAATACATTCACCTATTGAAAATCACCGTTTTTAAGTTCTTATAGAATACGTAAATCTTCTTACAAGGTAATCTATTGATTTTCAAAACTAATCTAATAACTCCTGAAAGTGTTATTTGAATCAGATTCATATTTAGAATGTTTTGAAGTAATCTTTTTTGAAGTCTGCTGTAAAAATTTCAGAAACATATGTTGTTCATTTCTGACGCTCTTAATGTTCCTTAAATGTTATTTCTGTAAGCAAATGTGGCATATTTCGAACCGAAATGCCTAAAAAGTGATTCATTTCCACAACTACCGAGCCTCGAAAATTCATTAACCCTTTCGCGCCGACTGTC